TACATGCAGGATAGCCACTGTTAAGTAGGGCTGCTTTGCTGCGGGAAATCTCTGCAGGCAGAGTCTCACTAGAGCGAACATTCCTCGCTCTTTGAAAGAGAGTATTTACGAGATTTTTTTCTATTGTACTGGCACAAATCTGGTAAAGTGTAAATATTGCCCATCTCTAGGCGTTTTTGTAAAATACCAAGCGCCCTCTCTAAACATGAGGACCCCTGAAAAGGGTAGCTTCTTCTACTGCTCCATTAAAGCAAGTCCAATTGCCAGAAGGCGGCCTCACTTGGACTCCCTACCCTCTCTCATTTCCATCATCACAACCACGCGGTGGGTTCGCGTCGCTTGTCGTGTCCGACGTAAAACTTTGCCCGTCTTGTTCGTTTTTGCTTGACGATGACCGCCGTAATCGTAGTAAATTCTGGGTGCTCCCATGTGCGGGTGCTTCACGCTAGCTGCTTAGGTATTTTTAAAAATCCCTTCCCACTTGAACCTAACCATAAAGTGGCTGGACTTTTCACCACTTATGTACGTAGGCTGGTGGTTTGGGTCATTCTTTCTCGGTTTGACCTGAAACAGTTGTTCATTGTCCTACACAAATAAACTGTCCGATGATGACGCTGGGGAGACATCAGTGTATTTTCAGTTTATTTGGTTACGGTAATAGACAATATCTTTGAAAACTGGTGCGACATACACATCTGTACACGCATGTTTAAATTCTTGTCACTATGTAAATAGTATTCACAAAGTGTAAGTAGTAATGTTTATTTTAAGTAAACTCCGCACGTCTGCAGTCGGCTCGAGACTTAGTTCGGGTTCAGACTTCAGGAAAAAACAACGGACACATATAATTATTCAAGCGTTTTGGTTAAGACTTCTAGGGACGTCGCCTCCTGACCAGAGGGAATTATTTATGTCCGCCGATGTGGGATGCTGCAAAACGGGCCGAAAAATCGGTCGTCTGTATGTGTGTGCCTGAGAACCAAGCTCTTTCTCTAAGGTAATCGGAGGTGGGAGGAGGCACTGAGAGCACTTACAGTGATGCGTTGATGTGCATTCGGTCGTAGTTCCTGGTCTGGCCTATAGCTGACTGAAAGAGTCCAAAATCGGGGACTTTTGACTCTCCGGCGTCATTGCTGTCTCCTAAATAGTACCATTTTTTAAATGGAGCTCACACAAAAGTCCAACCTTAAAGTGCATAATCTCGATTGGCGTGCGTGGTCAGCTGTGACTTGCATTTCCTTCTCGGTATTATAGCAATTCGCAAGTCAGGTCTTGCAGTTTCACTCCTGTTCCAACCAGCATATGTTTCTATTCGGGTTACCTGATAGACTATAGTGACAGCAAAAAGCCTAGTTAAAAGCCCTGCCTAGACTGGACTATAGACCATTGATCTCTGAACACCCTCAACCCTCTTCCCCATATTTGTCATTTATTGGAAGTTTTTTATCCTACCCTTCTTTATGTTATTGTAAATAGTATTGCCGGCAAAGACAAGGGAGGTTAGAATTGCCATTTCTGGCTTATTAACCTTCGTCAGTCAGTCATACCCAACCCCAATTGGTGCGCCACCCGAGACTCGAACTCGGTATTGCCACTGAGCCGCGGGTTCATTGTCTCACCGCTTTAAATCGAGAGATATTGGCACTCGTTGACGGTCAGGTCCTCTAGAGGATTGAGGCGAAACAGAAGGGAATTTCTCTTGTGTAGTCGACATCCGCTTTGCCGCCGGCTGATTCGATTTGGCCGGACTTAGTCAAGTTGGTAGCGCACTATTGCAAATGCAATTAACTGGCAATTCCAGGAGACCGAGTTTCTCGATCCACCCGAGGCCAAGCAAGTTAAGTTTCGGACGGTTGGTGACGTAGCATTTTCCTTTGAATTGTATGCCATCAAAAGAGGCATCACATTGAAGCTCACTCGTGAGTCGGAAAAATCCTCCAGAAATAGGCTTACCACTAATGCTAACCGTAAGATACTTCCTCTGTGCCTCAAATTCAGTCTTGACCTAAACGGACTAGACAACGAACTCGTGGCTCAGTGGTTAGAGCCTTAGGCTTCTGATCAACAGTTCGCCGGTTCGATCCTCGGGTGGCTAACGGCGGCTATAAGACCAGAAGTGGCCATTGCAGTCTCCCTTGTCTTTGCTGGCAATGTCCATCTGTCTACACTACTAGCGGCTGTGCGGCTGATGGCGAGGATCGATAGTGAGCCCCATGGCACAGCGGAACGAATGAGTCCGGTTAGCGATCGGTGAACGATGATCATCGGTTATTATTGTTGTGGATGCCTAGCGGGGAATAATCGGAAACTTACTTTCGCCAAAATTGATGTCCTGAATTTTTAATTTCGCCATAAATTATTTGTTAGCTTGGCGTAAATCACTCTACTTGAGATTTTATAGGCATAGACTGAGTCAAATCCCCGACAGTTGTACTATACAGCGGGAGAATGTCGGCGAAATACGTTTGTCTTGGCTTTTAGCCAATACTTGTGCGCTCTGGGGTTCACACGGAGGTAATTCTGGGCTTAGCCAAGTATTAGACTAACCAGAAATATGGGCCCCATTGCCATTCTAACTGCAATTTGCCTGACACGCATACGTGGCAACTTACTTACACCTCCATGCCCAACTAAAGCCCAAAAGACCCGATGAATCAATAAGAGTTTCCCAGCAGGAAGAGCTATTGCAGCAGCTCAACGTCCCCCACCTCGACAGTCTGACCGTCGATTTCGACTATGTCCACCGTATGCTCCATCACAGGATGATGCAGGGACAGTGACTTGTGCATGAATTAGTTTGAACTGATTGTAGACTTGCGCTGCATCGATCGCACTCTCTCTTCTCTCACCCACCTGAACCCGGTGTCAAGACATAGTCAAGAAGATCGGAGGCGGGATCGAGCGCAGGTGGCTGGCGCGGCCGAAAGCGTCCTCCCCCATGTTTGGCGTCTGTTATCGGCACGCGACCCGAATAACGACTGCCGTGTCCTTATTTGGCCCTCATGTCCGTCCAACTGTCCTATCGCGCGGCCCGTTTAGGGAGCACATGCCTACCCCCCCCACACGCATAAGTCTTCCGTTCCCACGCTCAGATTTTGAGCGCTCCTTGCTAGGTTAGCCGGGCATGGAAACAGTTATTTCTCCTTCCGCGACAGGGCATTTAGAAAATCTCAGATAAGCACACTGACATGAGACACTTCCACCAATGTTTTAACAAATTTGGACTTTACTAAAATGGGGTTTGACTGGTACCCTTGGGAGGTTTTTAACGCAATGCAGCCGGAAGACAAGCCATAGGTGATCGTCAGCTTTTGGTTGAGATTATTTTGACTTGATCGACTGAAAACCCCGCTTATTACAGTTGTTTCGGTAGGGATTTTTCGTAGGGCCGTCCATTGCCCCCAACTCAAGTTTCTTACTGAATTCTTGCTTAAAGGCGAATAAAGTGGTTGCGCACACCACGAGCCGTGTAGGCGCATGATACCTACACAAAAAGAAGGAAGTTAAAACCCCTTGTTATTGTTTTGCTGAATTAAAAGGAAGCCTATGAACCAAGAAAACTATTAGAATGACTCCTATTGGTTAACAAAAAGTATTGAGTAGGCTTAAATTAAACCTACTGAAGATTTAGAAGTAGTTTATTATTATTAATATCCTCCCTCAGGCGGCCCTGCTGTAAATCCATACCGTTGTTTCTTACGCCGTCGCATTGTCACACTATGCACCTCTTTCCTCCGCCCTGTGTATAGCCTCTGTTTAAGACCGTCGGTGGCGTTCCCGTATCAGATCTACCGCGGGCGGCAAAAGACGACGCGGATGACGAGGAGGAGGAGGAGGAGGAGGAAGGTGACGAGATGACCCTGCCCGTGAGACAACTGAATGTCGAAAATGCGCGCCGTCAGCTGAAAACAGTTATGGACGAGCAGGATAAGGCTCGTTGGCGAGAGCGTGTTCGTCAGAAACATCGGCTGGAGCGTCAGAAGGCCAAGGAAGCCAGAAAGACCCAACAGACTGAGCGGGTCTCCGCAACTAATCCCACCCTCGGCTCCTCCGCTTCTGCGTCCCAATCCGATCAGGTAATTGTTGTCTTTTTTGTGTGGCCTCATCCTCCTACTGTTTGAATAATAATAATAATAATAACGCTGGTAGTAGTTGTAGCAGTAGCAGTCGTGGTAGTGGTAGTTGTAATATTATGAATAGTAATAGTGGTAGTATTGCTTATAATAATAGTGATAATAATAGCAGAAGTTGTTCTTGTGGTAATAGTAGAATAATAATATTATTATTAGTAGTACTGGTAGTGGTAATGGTACTAATTGTAGTAGTTGTTGTGGTAGTATTAGTAGTTATAGACTAATGGTAGTATTAATAATATTATTGTTTATAGTACAGTAAAAGTATTAGTAATAGTATTAGTAGTAGTGGTAGTAGTGATAGAAGTAATAGTAGTGGTGTTAGCAGCTGCAGTAATAATAGTAAAGGGGATAGTAGTGGTAATAATATTAGTAGCAGTGATGGTGGTAATTGTATTACTTGTAGCAGTAGTGGTAAGAATAGTAGAAGTTGTGGTGGCAGTAGTAGTAGTAGTAGTAGTAGTAGTAGTAGTAGTAGTAGTAG